TAGCCATAGTTGACTCTCCTAAAAAGAAATTAATTTCAATATTAGGAGTACACTTAGGGGGAACAACAGTCATGTGCTATCACTGATTGCATGCTCCCTAAAGAGAGGATGCAAGGAGTAATACACACAGTGTAATCGTCAGATCAAAGTGCAGCAAAATAAACTTTCCTCATCTAAGGATCTGGTATTCTGACCAGATTGTAAACATTGGTTTAGAGTTACCCTCTCCTCATCCTCGGGCTTTGGGGAATGTACATTAACAAATTTCAAATGGAAAAACTCTGGGAAGAAGAAAAGCATGAAATAGGAAAAGTGCTAGATTGAAAGAAAATCAAATTCAGGAAAAATTTGTCACAATTATGTTCATAGTCTTTATCAGGTTAAAAGACCACATTCAGGTTACAAATTTTTAAATGTTTCAAGCAATTTTTAATGAATAATTAAGAAAATTAAAATCAATTTATTTTAATAGCAACAGGTATTTTATTATTCCTAATAGTTAACTTAAATTCTTTTGCTGGATTAAAAGCCTAGGAGAATGGAGAATTTCTGAATTATTTTTAAGTAACAGGATTTGATTTATCTGTTTCAAAAGTATCCTGTTTCAAAGAATAAAATCTTCTCAATAGTATGGCTATAAGCAAGTATGGCTATAAGTACACTGATTCATTTGTTGAGGACCTGCCCATGTTTTTTAACAAAGCTTATTTTGTTATTGCTTTGTATTTTTACTTTCTGTGTTTATTAATTTCCATTGCTTTGCAATAATAAACTACGGATTGTTTTATAACGAATAAATAAGTAATTTTAATAGAATTTCATGGATACATAAAAGCAAATTTTTGGGTTATATTGAATACAACAGTTTTGCAAAAGACTTTCAAGAGAAGGACTATAAAATTTACATAATGATATTTAAACAAAGCTTTTCAAAAAATCTAAACTTTTGCAGTTATTTCTTGAAAATTAATTATCTGTTTCAAAGAATAAAATTTTGTAAGGACCCCAAAAAAGAGAAGAACATTTTCTGGTGTTAGGCTACTGAAATTCCTGATTACTAAATCACCATGTTTAAAATTACTTGTTTTAAAATGGGTGTCATATCTCTGCTTGTTTACATTATGGTAATCATCAGACCTTTTCTAAGAAATGTTCATAATTTCTTGTGGTGGATAGTTTTTTGGTTCATAGTTTCTTGCTTCATAGTTAGTGGATACAGATCTTGATTGTCGATTAATGGATCATACAGTAATTTTTCATCCCTAAAATAAGATGGTGGGAATTTTGGAGTTATGGTGTATTATTATACTCTTCAGTAGCCACAGGCAATAATATTTTCCATCCAATATTATCTTGATAAGAATTTAACTTATATTTTAATCTAGTTTATAATCTTTTGTTTAACTATATCCACTACAGCATTAGTTTTTGGTCAATTAGTAGTACTTAATATTTGTGTAACATTACGGTTTTTCAAAAATTGATTAGATTTTGAAGAAGTAAAGATCATTTCTAGTACTTAAAATTATCTTTGGGACCTGAATCTGAAAAGTTTATCTTAAACAATTTAAGTATTGGTAGTTACACTTTTAAAAGCATGATCTAATAATGTGAATACACTTTCTAGAATTATAATAATTTAAACCACAACAATAATAATAGATAACAATTCAAAAAGTTTGCTTGCAGATGGTAGTGTTTGGATCAAGACAAGTTTAGTTTTTTTTTATTTTATTATTATTATTAAACTGACATACTTCACAATGTTTACAATAATTTCTAATATATTGTACTATTCTTCCCCAATACTATTGAGAAGATAACAAATTCAGCATTGAGGAATAACCAATATGACAAAACTCAATGTGAGCTTTTTCAAATAATTTAGTGCAAAGAAATATCGATATTACAATTTTATACAACTCTTGTGTTTTTATACTAGTTAAAACATTATTAATTTTATTATACTTAAGGTTACAAATATTATCAAATTTTGATATTTTTTCATGATAATAAATGAGCTTGTATACACGAATGTTGGCAAATGGAACATCTTATGACGGCCAGATTTACGTGTAAGTTACATAAGCTATAGCTTAGGGCCTCCACTTTCTTGGGGTTCCCCCCAAAAAATTAAAATATAGTATATAAGTAATATTGAAATATATATAACAGACTTATAAAGATATCTCAAACAGCTTAGTGATTAAATCAAATCTAAATTTGGCTCTGCACCTTCAGCTTCAATATTAGTAGAATATTTAACATCAAAATCATGCATACATAATTTTAAAGACCATCAAAATAATCTACCTGTAGGTTGTTGTATATTCTGAAGTCAAACTAAAGCAGCATGATCAGTATGTAGAGTAAAATGACTTCCATGCAAATAGTAATAAAACTTATCTCTAGTAACTACAATTGCTAGACATTCCAACTCAGTAATTGCATAATTTCTTTCAGAAAATCTTAATTTTTGAGAACGAAAAAATATACGGCATAAATCCCCATCTCAGTGCTCTTGTTTTAAATCTAGAGCAATATCTTTTTAAATTTATCTACAAATACATGAGAGGGATATTTTGGATTAAACAGAGTTAAAATGGGTCTGGAAATTAAAGCACCATTTAAATTTTGAAAAGCTATTTGACATTTAGTTGTCCATTTATATGGAGTATCTTTTTTTATTTTAGGGGATTGTAATTCTTTAATATTCACATTGCTGGGATGACATTTTCCAGCTTGAACTTCATATCCTAGAAAATTTATTTTTTCTCTAATAAAGTGCCACCTTGAATGATTTAGATACATATTTTTTTTTAAACACATATGTCAATTATTATTTTATACTGTTCTAAATGTTCGAATGGGAGTCTTCAGATTTTTGGGAGAGTAATATGATGTCATCAAAATAATTTAGAGCAAATAATTTAGAGTTTCTTAAACTGTGGGTCGTGACTCCCAACGGGGTTGCGGGACCTGCAGCGGGAGTCGTCAAAAATGTTAGCAGTTTTGATATTTCTTTAACTTATAATAATTTTGCAATTACCAAATATTTTCACACAATGTATCTGAAAATAGATAAGACAATGCAGACAAAGAAAAAACGAAAACATTCTGATGCATTCTTTTTATAATATAAACGTTCATTTTACTTGCTTTGCACATGATGCTGTCATTTTGTTTGTTACTTATTTAAAATTTTCACATTGTACTATGTCTTAAAATTAGAAATTAATGGCCTAAAACTGCAATGGTATATTACAATACAAGTGAAAAAATTGACAATTTCACTCAAGCGTACGTTGGATTTGTGCAATCCTTATAGGGTCCCACAATTTTTCATAAATATTATGGGGTCCAGGGTCTAGAAAAAAATCTCAGTGATAAAAAGAGGTTGCGACAAAAAAAAAGTTTAAGAAGCCGTGATTTAGAGGAAACTGGATTTAATATTTGTATAAAATTTATCTAAGGGCTCTTTGAGGAACATTTGGGCTATTTTTACAATCAATAGGTAATCTTCTGAATTAGTAAACCAATGCTATATCAACAGACAAAAGACACTCATCACAAAAATCAAAGCTATCCTGGATATCCTGGCAGCACACTGGATCTGTGTGATGTCACTCAATTTCTCTTTCTTCTTCATCACATAGTGCATCACTATAGCAATCAGCAGTTCTTTTTTCTTTTCTTTTTTTAACATCACTTCCACTATTACTCCTTTGCATTCCTTACCATTGTAATACGTGAAGTAATTAATTGAAGTAATTTGTAATATGTTGTAATACGTGAAGTGGATTCTAGCATAGCGAGGAGCATGTAATTTTGTAATAAAATGTGTAATTATTAATTTCATAAACCAGTTTAAAAAAGAAGGGCATTTTAAGATGCATTATCACAGTAAGATAAATAATCCCAATTTAACTTGATCAACCCAATTTTTAATAAAGTTCAATGTAATTTTTATGCTTGAAGACATTCAAAAATATTTTTTATCCAAATTTACACTGCTTGTGTTGCATTCAAGAAATATTTAACTTTATTTAAATATTTGTTTATTAAAGTACATTCAAAAGTCATTAATTCGGACACCCATAATCCGGAATGATCTATAATCCGGACCTCAAAGCTACAAACTTTCTGAACATGCGTCGCGTTTACGCATATGTGTAAGACCTTTACGGTTGCGCATATGTGTGTGCGCAAGCGCATAATACGTTTACACATGCGCGTTTAATGTATAACGGGCGGTATAAGCTAAAATTATCTAATTATCTATTTCAGTTAATGTTGCAGATTGCGTTGTTCCTTAATCTTTGAATGGGATCCGGCTTATTATTTTTGCAGACTGTTAGAGCAATTTTATAAAAGTAAGCTTGAACTTTCGATTATGTCAAATAGAATTTCCGATGCTGGAGCTCCCAAAGGATCTACAAAGCGAAAGTATGTTTTGATGTCCATCAAACAAAAAGTGAAATTGCTGCAAAAAATGGATAAAGGCATGAAGAAAGTGACAGAGAGGTTAGTGAAAACGAAAAAATTTTGATTGACAAGTTAGTCGGTATTCTCGGCACAGCAATTACAGGACTTGAAGAGCGGAACTTTGTAACTGAACAAGAAATTATGTCTGTTTATATAGAATTAAAGAGAAAGTTTTAGCACATAAAACAAAACAAGTTAAACAAATTACATTGAAAAAAATGTTTAATAAAGTAAAATAAATATTAAGCTTTTTTTTTTTTTTTTTTTTTTTTTTTTTTTTTTTTTTTTTATTTTTGTAAATTTTGATACCCTTTAGATCATAATTGTTCTTTATTTCAAAAATTACAGTTTCATATTTTTAATTTTATAATTTCTGCATGCCATCTTACCAGATTTAAACAGATGATCTATAATCCGGAAAAATCGATAATCCGGAATCGCCGAAGTCCCAACGAGTCCGGATTAACGACTTTTGACTGTACTAATAAATAAATAAGAACAATTATAAACCATACCTCTTTCAGTATACCAATGAGGTGTATTAATAAATTCTCTAACATCAGATAGAATACGACTTGCCACACCTTCATCTAAGATAACGGAGTTAATTGGCCTGCGTTTTCGAGGATGACCAAACTGCCTCCACTCAGAACCCATAGCTGTGTACATAATAGTTTTACCTTCTTCTCGTTTCAAAGCTAATTTTCTAGCTGCACAGAAAAAGAATTTCTGGATGTTACTCTAATATTTTATGAAACTATCTATACAATAAATACAAGAACACTGGTCAACAAAAAGAACAAAAACAATAAAATGATATACAGAAACAATAATGTTAACCAACAACAAAAATAAAAATTTTCTTTACTTCTTTTTTCTATCAAAGATTAAATTTAATTTTTCTAAATTTCCATTGACTGTTATATTCATATGCAACAATTTACTCAGAACTCACTGGGCCACTTTAGATATTTTTTATGTAGATTAAATTTAATTTTTCTAAATTTCCATTGACTGTTATATTCATATGCAACAATTTACTCAGAACTCACTGGGCCACTTTAGATATTTTTTATGTAGCTTTTAACTGCCAAAGGACTGTTAAAAAGTTTTATAGAAACAACTCCGGTCTTCTGTTATTAAACTTCGATTTTGTTCTATCAGAACTTATTTAAAAAAAAAACTGCATTTCTTACCCAGATAGCCAAATAACTGCATTGCTATGACTTAAATACAAATGAGCCATACACACAACAAAATACAGAGTCCACCAAAAAAAATGCATACACTATTTAATAAAAAAAAAACCCTATATATCATATTTCTTAATTACATTTAATTACTGTTCAGATATGTGTTACAAACCTTTAAGTAAGTATACATTTACATCTGATGTTTAAAATGTTGGTCGTTGAGGGGGCCAAACACCTAACAGAAAGACGTGATCGCAGCAGCTACAGCGGTCAATGTATCAATGGAAACCGATACATACATGCCTCTGTAATCTTCTGCCAAAGGTTCTCGAGTGTGCACAGCATACTTTGATACATTTCATCTTTCACAAGAAGTCCATGGGGGTGCTAATCATGCTGATAGTAGTGACACCTGTTGAGAGAAAATCCATACTACAACATACTTAAATTTCAGAGCAACTGTCAATGCCAGTATCCTGATACAGTATGGCAAAGAGCGCATACATTTTTCTGGCAGACACTGTAAGCTATATTTGTAAGTAATTGTCAATGTCTGATGTAAGATGTGTATTGATGTACTGTCCAAGTCCAGTACACAGTCCCAATGTCTATGATAAAACTATGCCTATACAGTGAAACTTCTCTCTTATACTTGCTCCTTTTTTAGACAATACTATTGATGGGACTCATCAAGCTGGCCAACATGTGGTTCAGCTGTCCTGTTCACAAAGAAATTTAAAATGTTAAAAATACGCTACAGCATATATACTCTACAGCACCTGAAAATCAGTTGGAAAATGCAGTGACAGGACTCATCAAGCTGACCAACATGTGGTTCAGCTGCCCTGTTCACAAAGAAATTTAAAATGTTAAAAATACTCTACAGCACCTGAAAATCAGTTGGAAAATGCAGTAATAAAAAAGCAGTGTTAATTAAATTTAAGTAAAATAATCAAAGCAATAATAGCATCAAATTAATTTTAAATTATTAAATAAGTATTGTATATAATTTGGGTTATGCATAAATAAATGCAATCTTAATATAAAAATATATGGAAGAGCTAAAGCAAAATCGATACATTATACAAAGTTAAAAAAAAGCTTATATAAAAAAGTTATTAGAGTTATTAAAAACTTATTAAAGTTAGCTTGCATAACTATATACAGAAACATGGTTCATTTCAGAAATGTGACAATGATAGAGAACTAACTGCACATTTGAAACCTACAAAGTTCACTTCTATCAGATAAAATTTAACTGTTGACCAATGTAAAAATATAGGACAATAAAATTATTTCATAATTTATGGTACAATACCTTCATCTAATATTTGAAAGTAAAGTGATTTATTTCTACCCAAAGCAGTTAGTGTAACTGTCTCCCATGGTACACCCATATGCAAATCTAGAGTATGTTGTTCTCTATTCCTTTCAACTCGAATCCAAGTCTTGTTATAACTAAAAATTTAATAAAATTCATACATAAACATAGCATGGTATGAATGATCATTCATTAAAAGGGAAAATATTGCCTATTTACACTTCTTATGATTTTCCTTCTTATTATTTAACATATGCTGCATTATGAATCTTAAATAAATAAAAGTTATGTGTTTAGATAAAAATAAATTTTTCAACAAATAAATAAACTTTATACTCATTATAACAACATCATACACTCAAGAGCCAAAACATTATGACCACCTGTCAATAACAAGTTGGGCCACCTTTGGCACACAACACAGCTTCAACCCGCCTTTGCATGGATGCCACAAGTCCTTGATAGATGGCCGGAGACAGATTCTACCAGATGTTGTAGCAATGGTCACGCAAATCCGAGATATTGCGAATTGGTGGTCTTTGACCTCTGAGCTGCCATCCCATGACATCCCAAATGTGCTCTATCGGATTGAGATCCGGTGAGTTAGGCGGCCAGGACATTGACTGGAAATCAGCATCATGTTCCTGGAACCACTCGCAATTGTAGACTTGCGACACGGGGCGTTGGCCTGTTGGAACATTTCATTTCCAGTTGGAAAAACAGAGGCCATGTAAGGGTTCAACTGGTCCACAATGATGTTCAGATACCCTGTAGCATTCATGGTCTGCTCTACCACAACCACAGGTCCCAGAGACAAATATCCCCCAGAGCATAATACCGTCACCACCAGCCTGTGTATGACCTACTGTGCATTGAGGGAGCAACTGTTCGCCTGGAAGACGGCGTATTCTGACACAGCCATCGGTGTGATAAATGACAAACCGTGATTTATCTGTCCAGGCAACTCTCTCCCACTGATCCATGGACCAGTCGAAATGTTCCCGGGCCCAGAGCAGGCGCAGTTGGCGATGACGCTTGGTCAGCAAGGTACACGAGTGGGACGTTTGCTGCGTAGCCCCATATCCAACAGTGTCCACTGAACAGTGTGCTTCGATAGTTTTCTTCTTGGCCCTGCATTGTATTCGGCTGTCAGCTGAGCCACTGTATGGCTCCGGTTTTGCTTCACCATGCGAGACAGTCTCCGAAGACCTTTTTCATTGATAGCGTGTGGACGTCCAACATCATGTCGTTTACTGCTGGTTTCACCGTCATTCATCCACTTTTCATATGTACTATCAACTGCAGATCGCGAATAACCCACGAGTCGTGCAGTTTCGGAAATACTTGTTTCGAGCCTTCGAGCCATCACAATCTGCCCTCTATCAAAGTCGCTTAGATCCGCATCCTTTCCCATCACATACAAAAGTAAGTGAAAGAATGATTCTCCAGACTCTACAGCAGCAGTTAAATACCACTTCCACCTGATCACGTGCCTTTCACGTCATCCAGGCGCGTTCATCGCAAAATGTAGGGCTGGTCATAATGTTTTGGCTCTTGAGTGTATATTGCAAAAAAAAAAAGTACAATTATAATGATTGGTTGTTACAACAAACATGGACTCAATACTTTTTTATTGGAGATAAAAAGTTTTTAAGAAAATTCCATACTTATGGTACAAGAACAAATTATTATTTTCTTTTCAATTAAACAAGCATTAGAAATGAAAATAACATATCAAGTTTAAGAAAGCAATATTTCTTTCACAAATAAAATCTTAAATAAATATAAAATGAAATCTGAAAAAAAATTGGCTGTAATTACTGTCTATACCCAAACATTTATTTACTACTAACACAATACCATTCTGTTACAATCGCAGTCGAGATGATAAATAAATTTCGATGTTTTCTGGTCATTTAAAAAAAAAATTAAGTTTCAATATAATGTGTATATAAGAAAAGTACATAAAAAGGAAGTTTTTCAGTTTCATTCAACAGCTGGCATAAAACTGTTATTCATTGCATAGTTTTCTTTTCTCCCCTTTAAATTAAATTTTACAAATATGAACTAGCACGGGTAAAAATATTTTTCTAATATATAATTTATTCAAATAAAGAATAAATTTATAGAGTAAAAATTTATATTCCATTTTATTAAATCATGGAAAAAATCCATTTAACCTTATTGCATTTAGCATTTCAATATGAGAAAATGTTACACACTACCAGTTTGAAGCAAATGCGTGTTTATATTAAAAGAAAAAGTATTATATAATAAAAGACAAATACTTGGTTTGGACAAATACTATGTATTGCAAACCATTTATTGGTATGATATCAGTAACTCCTATACTATCTGATTTTTTTTAATTAAACTTACTGCAAACAAGTTCTATTAACAAACTTTTTTTGTATACTGCAAAATGCTTCACTATTCTTCTTTCAAAAATAACCGTTTCCAGATTTATTGTGCATTCTGTGAGAAACATAAAATTAAGTAATCAGTCTAATAGAATTCCTTCACTTAAATTTCTGACAATTTCCAACCTTCTTATTCTGAATTGTCAAGTTGATTCAACTATTAAAATATACACTAACTATTCAATTCAATTAGATTTTAAATATGACAAGGATTACTGAAGTTTGTTAAATTTTGTTTTGTCAATGATTTAATTATTTAATAGTATTTTCTATTTTTTAAATTAGGGACAGGTGTAAACTATTAAATGGAACCAAGTACTGTAAACTAGTTGAGGAAAAGAAAAGGAATGAAAGGTTATAGTACCTGAAACTCTATTAACTGATATTTTTTCACATAAGTCACACGAACTGAAAAAATTCTAGCTGTGTAATGAGAACAAAAGTAACAATTAAAGCAGGAACGTAAACGATTTAGGTAATAGCAGTGAGAATAACAACAGAAATCTTGACCAAAATTAAATGTTTTATTTAGATGCTTGTGAAGAACCTAATAAATTAGGAAAGTGTTTTGTATGAGATAAAGACATCTCTATTACAATTATTGATAGCTATAGTTGCAAACCAAATAATAACCCAAGACTTTAGGAAGTAATCAACTCCACAAGAGATTATATTAAAGGGAAAAAAAGGTTTCGATTAATCAGTACCTGCAACATCTCAATTTCATGAAATAGAGTATCAGTACCTGCAACATCTCAATTTCATGAAATAGAGTATCAATACCTGCAACATCTCAGTTTCATGAAATAGAGTTTAGTGACAAGAAACATGCTAATCAGAAGGAATGAGACAGCACAGCAGAAATGAATACTCAACACACATGAGAATTGTAAACCTCATCTAAATTGTGTTTTGGCTTTAAGGTAACAAAAAAAAAAAAAAAAAAAAAAACTGAATTAGGCACACTTATTAAACATTTAATAATGCAAACATAAGAAGAAGTTAAATATTGGAGGATTATTCTCTAGACAGTTGCAATTGTTTCTAAGCATTCATCAGCTAATGATCACACTTTTAGACATGAAAACGAAGTGATTGGCTTCCCAAATAATGAAACTTTTTGACATACATAGAACTTACAACAGGATTGGAATGATTTTTATGAAGTCATTGTGATGAAGTCATTCACAATGACTTAGAGGTTTTGGCAAAGATAAGATTTCTTACTTTTCTTCTACTATTTTTTTATGCTCATAGATGTGGAAATCTGTTACTTGTACCATTCTTCAAGAGGGCAGTACTTTTCCATCATTATACATTCATTTATCAACAATAACAATCAACTGACTTTTATCTTAACATATATATAAATAAGAAGATCAATCTTGGGAAATAGTTCTTAGAGTTTCTAAAAAATCCTAGTCATTCTGGCAAGGAGCTAACTGATTTTCTTTTAAAGTCCCTTTCTATACATGGACTCGACATTCAGAATTCCTGCAACTAGTCATATGAATTGCTGTATGTTTGTTATTTATGCTGGCTTGCAAAGTAAATTAAGATACCATTCCATTTTACCTACCATGCTCTGTTTATTAACATAACTTAGTATGAATCAACGATGTATAATACTGTACACATTCTAGATAATTCTTTAATGTCTTATAACCACATTACAGTATCTTTCAGCTTCAGATCACTAATGAAGTTCTTTAGAGTGGGCTCTCCCAATTCTGAACACCTCTATGCGGAAAATTTTTCTGTTATAAAGTAGCCAGATGCAGAAGAGACAATTAGAAGTTCAAACAAAGTTTCAAAGCCCCTGACAGAGGATGAGAAGAAAACAGAATCATTAGAAACCAAGCAAGAAGAAATTTAAGATAATTAATTTGTCTGAAAATATCATTCTTGGCAGCAATATTCTTGAACGATTTAATAATGTAGACCGGAAAATACAATCATGCATGATGTATGATCATATCACAATTTTATAACTTTCTCTTATAATTTGCAAGTAAAATGAAAAATATGTTCAGTTTTTCCAAAAAGATCTGGTAGAACTAAAATTAAAACAGCCTTTCAAGTAGTTCACCCACCAGTAGAAAGGTTCCATACTCATAACAGGATAACAAAAATAAAGTTCATCAATGAATCTTTAACCAAGCAAGAAAAGGTTTAAGATAATTAATTAATCATACAGTTAATGAGGAAGCAGAAAGTATGAACAATTTACTTTTAGCAAAAGCTACATTCAGATACTCAGTAATTTACTTACTGAAAGAGTTTATAGCTCTACAATGAAGCTTCAAAAGAATTTTAATTTTAACAAACCTAGTTAATATGAAATCTGGTTATGGCAATGTTTAATTTTAGGTTTTGCATTTTTATAAGTTAAAAAAAATGAAAAATTTATTTCATGCAAGTTAAAAATTTCACTAGAATGATTATATAAAAACTGAAAAAATATCTCACTAAAAGAAATGTGTTCCAACACTTGGTACAAAGTCAAATGAAGTTGATATTTTTCCTGTTTCATGTTGTTTGAATGTAGTTTCAACACTAATATGCTGAGTGTGTTTTGCATTCATAGTAATCCACTGAAGAAGCCACTGATAACTTTTATCTCTACAAGGTACTTCTAATGTCATCATGTAATGGCGTCTGAAAAATATCATTCCCACCATAGTTGCTTTCCTTAACATTGCTAAACCAGCACCAACACCAACAAGTCCAAACCCTGCTCCAAAATATGGATTGTTCTGAAGTGAAGATATAAAATCTGAGAGTGGCATTTTCCTTGTTGAGTTAGAATTAAGCTGAGAAAAAAAGAAAAATATACATTAGTGTCCATATTTTACATAAAGCTAACCAATTTTAATAACAAAAATTTTCATACATGATGGAGCTAAATAAATGGCAGGCATAAAAATTCACAAAAATACATTAAAATATATTATTATAAAAAATTTTAATTAAATTCAATAGTTAAAATGATTTTGTTTGTAAATTTCAAAGTCAAAAACTATATTTAGATGATCTCTAAAACAAATAAAATTTTATTTCAATTTTAAAACTAACTCTTATGTAGTTTTGTTAATCATCTTTATCCATAATTTAGAGTTTTATTGACTTCTTTCAGTTTATTTTAAACTGATTCAGCTAATTTATGACCAAAATTTGAGTCATTATTTCTGAAAACTAAACATAATCCTACAGATTTTCAATGAAATTAAAATCCAGACTCAAGTTTGGATGAGAGTTGATACTTTAATGGTAGTCATATAATATCCATAGCATGCATATAAAGTACCATGAAATTTAGATCACGGTTCTGATTGACATTAAATTAGACAGTTGATTCCTGTTTTGAGAAATTCATGAATCTGCACATTTGTTAATTTCAAAGTATACTGATTGTCTGATGAGTGCTTCATACTGCTAGTTGCTCATAAGTGAGCTTAAATAAAGTAATGAGACAGATCATTACTGCCATAAACAGAGGATAAGGGAAGTTCTTTATAGGATACCAAGATCAACCTGTTATACAGCTTCAGTTAAACTGGCAGTTTCACAGAGTTCATATATACATTTTTTCACACATATTTTTCATGAAGTGAGTTTTGATCATATCTTTTGCAAAAATTCAACTGGCCTGTGAAAACTCTGCTTCGTCAAAAGCACACAGGTTTTTCAGTTGATTTAAAACTTTTTTAAAAGGTTGAGAATCAACTGAAAATAAACTGGAAAACCAATAAAAAGAACCAATGAAAATGTGATCAAAATCAAGGACTTTATACAGTCAGACCTTCAATTTAGATTAATAGTACAAATCTAAATAACTTTATCAAATTTTAACGAATGCTGTCATATGCCAGTTTTCGCAATGACGTTTTTGGCTCAAAATGGTGTCCCTGCTGTTCTTCAGTCCCCATTTTCATCCTGCTTAAGTGCTGTAGTGTTTTTCAGTTATTTAGTCTGAAAGGATTGATCTTTGAAGGTACACCATTTCGGAAAAAACTATTAAAAAAGTTCAGCTAAAGGCAGTTTCAGTTTCTGAGTTCCAGACTGCTTTGAAGAGTGGGAACAATATCTCAGGCAATGCGTGGTTTCCGAACGGAACCACCTTGAAAGAGAGATCAATTGGATATTTAATTTAAACAAACATTCAGTTGAAAAATGTTTCATTAATTTATTTAAAGACCTTGTATAGCTTCAAATTATCCCTCCACCACTGTCACATTTTATAACATACGAGATTTCTTGGCAAAAGTTTAGTAATTCAAATCTAAATATTTTGCTTGCCATCCCAACTCATATTGGAATACATTTACTTATGTCAAAAAAAATATGTTACTAATATTTGTCATTCTTTTAACTTTTTTATATGATTCTAGCAAACCCTATTGTTTTAAAGTTTATTTAACTAGTTAATGCCTTATTTTAGCAATCTGACCCTGAAATATATGCTCCTTTCAGACATTTTTGGATTAGGATATTCACCAACAAATTTTTCATCTGTGGTATTTTTCTTCAAATTAATAGTGACTTTTTTTCCACCAATCTTTGCTCTAGTAAAATTAAAATGCTTGCAGATTAAGCTTTAATTTCTGAAGAATTTGTTTATGACACTAGTAAAGTATAATAAACACAGCTGATTTACTAATAATAATTTCAAACTTTGCTTGTTGAACAACTAGTTTGTTTTTATCATGATCAATGACAGCTGTTATAAACTGTTTTTGAGGTCACTTATTATCTGTCCTATGATTTCTGAATAAAAATGATAATGTTGGTTTTATAGTTTAAAATAATTTTAATGTTTTGTAATGTAATAGTTTAAAATAATTAATAAAACAATAAATTAATTAAAATAATTTAATAACGTACTTTTCCGTTTTGCCGGCACAGGTGATAAGTCGCCAATAATGGTACAACTGATGCCAAACGGAATATCCTCGCTGGTAACCTTTTACGCCTCATTTCAAAACAAGTCGCAGCCATTTCTTATCAAATAGATTGTTTCTTTCACTACTAGCATACAATTAAATAGAATTTTTACCAGAGAGTTCAGTTTTGTGCCCTAAGGCCATTCGAGCTAATTAAGTCGACTAGGATGCAATCACACACACATCACACACCGCTCACCCGAAGGCAAAAATATAGAAAAGGCAAAGTCAAGGGTTAAATTCATCAAATCTAATAAGAATGCACTAGCGAAGTAAAGCTCTGCGGTTTTACATAATTTCTGAGTAAGCTATTCGTACGAATTGAAATAATTCCTGCATTTAAACTTGTATTCCAAATTAAGATTTAACTTGAAATTAATGTAGATAATTACTGAGAGAATTAGGTTTTTGTAGCGTAGTTTACGTGAGATGAGATCACTTGGGGTCACGTGAATCAGCACGTTGTACCATGAAAGCATAGTAAATTCTTAAATTAATGACTTTTTACAAATTTATTGTCTTTATTTATTGGCTTTTTATAAAATTTAAACGATATTAAAATGTTTATGCCCTCAAAATAAAAGATTCTTAGAACCAACATTTGTTAACATTTTATATGTGTATGCTATGTGGCTATGTGTTGTCGCCAATAAAGTCTGCTTGGAGAGATTTGCGCTGGCGAAACGGAAAAGTACCAAAAATGATAATGTTGGTTTTATAGTTTAAAATAATTTTAATGGCAGTAGACTTTAAAAATATCCACCAGTCAATAATATTGTCAGACACCTCACCTAAATATTTGTTCGACTGCTGATCTTGTTATGCTGAATTTTCTGAAATGATGATGTAATTATTATACAAATGTATAATTTTTCCTAAATTGAGAGCAACAGAAAATTATCATTCATCCATCAGTCCCCACACTTCCTCCTGTTTCACACATGAAAACTACCAACAGGAAATTATATCTTACTTGTAGCTGGTTACTATTTAAAATATGGATTCGGTTGGAAGCTATGTGCTGCCCAAATCAGATTTTTTTTAATATAATTAATCGCAGCTTATTATGTAACATGCTTGGCTAACCTGTTAAGTTACATGGGCATATAGTTATAAAGACGAAATAGCTAGTATTTATACAGTCATATTCTATTTCCGCTGAAATAAGAAGAAAATGATAAGAACTGGCTTCTCCCACACAAATGCTTACTTAAAAAGACTGTTTCCGAAATCACAGGTTGCTGCAATTATTATGCGGTTTAAAAAAAGCGCAAGTTTCACGAAAATAACCTTATATTAGCAAAAAATACGGAATTTTATTTAAAACAAAAAACTGAACATGTATCTCCAACTTTTTTCTCCATAACAAACAGATGATAAAAAATGTACTTCTTTCAAAAAAAGCACATTTAAAAAAAATGTTAAAAACTTATAAAATCTAATCTAGAATACTAATATATTTATTCACCTATGAGATTTATGTTGTCAGTAAAAGTTTAGTTATAACGAACCACATTAAATATGTTCTGCTGTACATAATGTAAAAGGAGAAAATATCACGCTCTTGCTATGGAAGCAGACATCTTGGATGATTGTTTACATCAATAGGTCTCTTCTTCCTTTCAAACATTTTTGGTTCACGCAGTGCATGGTCTGTCGATTAAACGAAATTTGGTAAAATATTCCAAGCGTAATTGCAAGTGTAAGACTTTTTTTATGCTTAGACTAATCGTAAGCAGAGCATTTTCGGGAATACCTGTATTATTGGTTCTCAAGGCTGGGAAAAATCCTCCAAAATCTGATAAAGAGAAATACGCACTTACTCCGCTTCCCACCTGCAGGAAGGGGATGTCAGAGTTTTCAAATTTATGTTTAGGAACTGCTCAAAACTTTGTTGTTGAAAGTGAAAACAAAATGAGGAAACTTCTTAGTTGTCACGCCGAATGGACATTCCTGTTCAAGCTGTTCCATCAATTAAGCTTATCTTCATAATTGCAAAGTTCTGAACCAAAGGGAAGAGTATCTGGACCTTCGTTAAAGATACACACAAAAGTTCTCTTAATTCCCTTAACAAATGAGTTCAGGAAGGAATGCAAAAAAATTGTGTAGCTATGAAAATATTACAGGACTAATAAACCTTATTAAATCTGGAAGCACGGCCGGTATCTAGGATATCTGGGTCCGCTTTAAAATTGTATGTTTTATAGCATATTTGACTTTTATATAATTTATTACCCATATTCCTTTTATTTCCGAATTAAAAATTATAGGCTTCTGTATAACATATTTAGATATTAATAAATTTAAAATTGCATAATTTTCCATAGACAAAAAACAGAATTGTGCATAGTAGTACACTCAAATGCAACACTTTCTTCCGCTAAATAGTGCTCGTCTGTTTTCAAAATAAAACTACTGTTTTAAATTTTTTCATTCGAACCTCTTCAGCTCTATTTGTCTGGGATATTCAGTGACACTTGGATGCATATATAAGTAACACTGTAATGCCTAATTGCAGGTCTTCCTGTTTAAAGACTGTTGTACCAGATCACAAGAAAATTTAAATGTGATTTCTTTTAACAAACCTAAATGTCTCACTGACGCACAAGGGATCTCTTTTAAAATTTTCTTTCAGCGTTTCCAAGACATATTATTTTCTTAGGTTCCTAATTAATGTGTTTAATACTTTCAATTTTCAAGGGGCACTTAAAATACTAGCAATCCTAAAATCCTTTCGAAACGTTTGCTGGTAGGATAACAGGTCAGAACTGTTCTCTGGCATATTCTGCGTCAAAATTATTACGGAACTTCTTCCTTTCTCACGTCCATTAGTTTGGTCGCAGCCTGTGATGTATCCAAGAAAACGACCTTCATGATGAGATTGGCTAAATGACTGATAGGTACTAGCCATTTCCAATCATTGCATTAATTTGGGAGTAGCTGACCGTTTGGAAAAAAAAAAACTTTTAATTCTCGTTCCCAGCTACATTTGTGCACTGTTTATAGATGCAGAAAATCAAAGAGAAAAGCTTTGCACCCAGCTACCCGCCCAACGCTCTCCACACATACAAAAAGAAATGAAAGAATTAGTGCAATTTTTGAAGATTTAACTGCTTCAATAACAACATATTCATGCCTTTAGTATAATAAGGTATGTAACGAGCTGATAGGATTTAAAAAATACACGCATTCCACGTTTTTTAACAGCATTTCCATTACCGTATTATCCACGGTAATTTACAACGTATTCCAAGATTAAGTCTTATGCAATAATTCAATGATTCTTTTTTTAATATGGGAAATATCTCTAATTTCAAGATATACTAGAAATAAATATTCATGAATGGCAGCTGATGTAGAACATATTCTTTAAATGACATTCCGTTTTTCTGTGTGACTTAATTCTGGTATGAATTGTTGAACTGAATAATGTTTGTTTCGCACTATTTTCATAATATTACACTATTTTTTATTTTCAATGTTCCTGCTCAGGCGCATAAGCAGGCTTCCTCGTTTCACTACTCTTTGAACACGTTCACTTTCTAAGTGCTGTATTTAACCACTCTAAGTGTTGTAGTTAACCATTCTGGTGCTGTGTTTTACCATTCATTCAATTTATCCAAAAACTTTCTCATAGATTGGATTTCCAAGCTTCTCATGATCACTTCTTTAAAAGAAAATTTCTTTCCGATGACATAATGAGACTGCAATCTCTCTTTAAAACTAATGTCCATCTCTTTTCTTTTTTCTCTATTTGATCGTATGTTTCTTTACATATTAACTTTTTTGGACCTTACTGGACGAGCTAGGGGACTGCAAACGATCTTAGACTGAGAAAACGAAATTAAGATATGACTTGAACTCGTGCATCAATGACCGAGTGGGTAAAACTGCTAAGCACTAGTAACTGCGCTTAAGAACGAATGGACAGGTTGCATATGTATTTTCGTGATGTTTCATATGTACTAAAGCGTGAATACAGAACAGTTTCCCTTACGAAATTCTTGTCTTTAGGTAGATAGCACTGACATGCCTCTCAGGTATCAATATATAATGCACAGGAATGCAGGAGTTTAAGCAAATTGTTGAATTTGGGAAATAGGAATAAAGAACTGACTCTTTTTTTTTTCTTTTTTTTTCACTTGTATTTTAACAATTTTTATTCGATTTAACTATATCTTTCTAGAACTTCCTTTTCTATTTTTCTTTCCTCAACAAGCTTTCCGAAGCACAGTTAACATTTTCATGCCTTTCAAGTAATTTTCTGTCATTGTTGAAGGCAAACAAATTTTTACTCTGCGAAAAGGATTGAATGGGCACTTGTACTCGTAGTAAATGGTTGAGAATAAGATATAAGAAGAGCATGCTACGTTTCTGGAAAAAAGTCGTTGCTTCTTTTGCCAAATCTTCTCACTATCAAAATTTTCCAAATTATAAAAATCGCGAAAGCAGTGCAACCTTTTAATAATCTCCATTGCCATCTCTAACAAAGTCATGAAATGCAATAACAATAAAGAAAAAGCTCGTAAATTATTGCTAGAAAATCTCGCCTTCCCTAGTGATAACATTAAGGAGTCCAGACAAGGGATAGATAATAAAAGATCTTTTCCAAAATTTATCGGCTGTAAATACTAGAGGATTTGAAGGATGTTGTTGTCCTTTTACAGTCCTCGAAACTTGCATCCATAACACCGAATATCCTGCCATAAGACAGGATTTGAGGGATGTTGTTGTCCTTTTACAGTCCTTGAAACCTGCATCCAAAAGACCGAATATCCTGCCATAAGACATCTGCAGCTTTCACGAGTATTAAAATTTTGTCTATGTGGTCCAGACAACATAGCGTTTTCAGATCTTTGGACTGTAAAACCTTAGCCAGTCGCTGAAACAGCAGAATCGGACACTTTGCTATTAGTCTTGCACTCACGATAAATTCAGATTTCGTCGCAACCAAGTGTAACTGGAAACCAATTTTCCTAGTGGAAGCATTACCTTCTTTTGACAACTATTCCAATTCCTGAACTTCATTCATAAAATGTGGTGTGAATAAGTTGAAATTTTTTTATTTCTAAGATCAACGTGCTTTACATAAGGTTGGAATATGAACTATATATTTTCCTCGTAGAACAGATTGAGGCAAAATGTTTACAGCAGCCTTTACAGCATAACCTTTACAGCAGCAATACGTTTTCTAATTTCATCTCTTAACACCCGGGAAAGCGCGTGGGGTGCATCATACCCCTGCTCTACAAAAAAGTGGAGCAGGGGTATGATGCACCCCACGCGCTTTCCCGGGTGTTAAGAGATGAAATTAGAAAACGTATTGCTGCTGTAAAGGTAATGCTGTAAAGGCTGCTGTAAACATTTTATTATTACTAACTTGTGAAACTGTAATTCCGTGCTGCATTCAGTAGCTGAGTTTCCAGCAGTGGTTGACTTTCAGAACCGCTTTTCCGTTGCCTGTGTGTTTCGTAAAAAGATTTATCCATATTTTGTTGCAACTGGGGTATAACATACCCCACGCGCCTGTCCGCGTAAGTGCTTTTGTGACTGAATATTTATTTGAGAAATTTATTTCTAGAGTGAAACAGTAAATATTTCCACTCGAAAATGATTTCAAGATGTTTGAAATTATATTTTTAAATATTTCTGATCTTATTATGGCTAATGGAGACGGAATTGCAGATGGAATTACTGTGACAATTATTAGAAATAGTTGAAAGTGATGAAGATTGCATTTCGGAAACTGAAAATGAAGATAGGAATATTTTCTGCACTGTTTGGGTTTCGAAAAAGAAAAAAAATAAAACATTAATTTCATATGTTCCTAAAAAAAGGAAAAACCGTTCTAATGCTTTCAACATTACATAACGATGTTGCTATAGAGGATACTACTGGAGAAAAGAAACCGCCAGAAATTATATATTTTTATAATATGACAAAGAGTGCAGTGGGCACTTTGGATGAAGTAGCAGCAACTTTTTCAATTGCCATAATAAAAAGGAAGTGGGCAATGCTAATTTTATGTTCTGCAATAAAGGTTGCTGCAAATGATTTTCGAATTATAATACTTTCAACTGCTACTCCACCAACCAGATACTGTTTTTGAGGGACATAGCAGTACAGTTAATAAAAAAATTACTGAGCAACGATCAGAGATTAATACTTTATCGAGAGACTTACGTACTGCATGCAAAAGAAGAACAGAAGTTTCGACGAATAATTCAGACGATTATATGAAATTCGAAACAACTAAGTATAAAAAATGTGATTTTTTTTCCCTCGAGCCAGGGACAGAAGAACGCAAATGCGATGTTTAAAATAAGAACTTTCTATGCCAAGAACACATGAATGTATTTTATTCAAAGTGTAAACAGATCAAATAAGGATTGTGTATTAGAGATGCAATAAGACCAAGGAAATGATTTTTATTTTATTAATATTTTCGTTTATCTTAATTTTAACTGTCTATAAGCTTGTTTTGGAAATTAATTTCTTGTAACCCAAGTATTATAAAAGAAAATAAAGCTTTACAATTAAATAAAATTACTTTTACAGTATTTTAAATATTGGGGTATGTGATACCCCACGCAC